ATATATATATATATTCAATTAATGTTTGTGCTAATATATATGATTTTTACATATATATATATTTGTGCTAATTAATGTTCAATTAATGTTTGTGCTAATATAAACAAAATTCATTATATAATTAATGTTATGTGCTAATATAAACAAAATTCATTATATGATTGTTATATAATTAATGTTTGTGCTAATATAAACAAAATTCAATATATATATATATATGATCAACATTCATCACTTAATGTTTGTGCTAATAACATGATGAAAGGTGATCCATCCTGCAAAAAATGGCGTGCATCAGGATAAGTAGAACCAAACTCAAGAGACTCCTATCGCTTCAATATTCAAGCTTCACCAGATATTTGCTAGCCGACGTACAAAGTCAACATGCATGGAATGACCAGCCTATTATTCCATAATATTCAATTAAAAGGCGAGCGAGTCATTGAATTTTGTTAAAACAAAGAATATTCTCAATTTTTATGTATTTACATATCTAACATCTAAACTTCAATTTTTACATATATGACATCTTCCCTAAGTATGAAAAGGTGTATTTCACTTTTTAAAAGTTAAAATAATGGCATACTTTATGTGATAAAAAAGATTTGGGTGGTATAAATGTAAAAAGTAAAGTTTAGGTGTTAGAACTGTAAATACATAGGAATTGGGTGGTATGTATGTAAATACCGGAAAAAAATATTAAAAAAAGAACGGCAAAATTTTTGAATCAAAACTTAGACCTTTGATGAGTTTTAAAGTCATTATAATTATTTTGATATTAATGCGACATATAAAAAATCAATAGAATTTATATTGTACTTGTAAAAAAAAAATTAGTAGCAAACCTTGTAAGCAATTATATGTGAAAATGGAAGCCCTTGGTGACCGTTCCGTGCAAAAAGAGAGAAATCCCCTATAAGATCCAATATCTTGTGGCGGCAAGGTTCATTGTTGAAACGCAGTGGTGGATTTAGCCAGCCAGAAACGGCACTGCAAAAGAAGATGCCAATAAGTTTGGAATTTATACTCAACCAACCTTCATCATCACTGCAGTTATTTCAAATAAGATATCCATCCATAATCATTTTAATGAAAATGAAAGGAGATTAGGAAAGGGTAAATGCGCAAAAATGAAAGTAATCTGAGCAAATATGCAAAAAAATTTATACAGTTCTGTCACATCACCCCTTGTATGCATACATATGTTATAGAGTTTATCACTTTATGGCCGTGTTTGGCTGCGTTCTGGATTTTCGTTAAGTAGAATTTAGTAAATTTGATAGAGCTGGATTTATCAAATCCATATTTTGATGGAGAAACACTTGCGAGCCAAATTGCTTGAGTCCGTCTGTGAAACGGATTTAGTAAATCCAGATTTATATCAAAAATTAAATGTAATCAGCAAATATTCGATTTAAATATATTGCTAAATCCGGTTAAAAATATGCTACCAGACACCCCCTATGAAAATACAGGTACATCTTGTACTTAAGAGGATACCATACACCTACATTTAGTGTTGATCTGCAACCTCTTCATCTTAAAAATATTCCAAAAACATGATTTGTTATTTGACAAAATATATACCAGCCTTCTTGATGTAGTTGTCAATGAATGTGATGTTGCACATTGAGCCTCCAAGGGATGCAATAGGAAATGGCTCTCATACATCCATGTGAGCCAAATTCAACTTACTGATTTTAAATTCTCGTCTAGCTTTTGAGAAACTAACCCTCATTTGCTTTCCTAGGAAGTAGTTTTCATAAAACTAGATTCAATAGATTTCAAATATAGGAATTTACCTTGAGAGTGAAGGAGCTCTAGGTCCTTGTCATCAATGTGGCTTAAACTTTGAAGCCAAATATTTTCTTATATTTGAACTGATTATAACCACCATTGTTCCAATACTTACAATAATGTAGTGTGCATTGATCTTATTTTCAGAAGTCAACCTTGAATATGGCCCTACAACATTCTATAGCAAGCTACGGTATAGAAATCAGATATTTCCTCAACCCAAGATTGCGACTAGCCTTGCAGTTCCCATGTGACTCCATTTGCAGTTTAAAATATCATGTGCTTTGCCCATAATATTTAAGAACTCATTATCAGCAAAAGAAAAAAAAAGGCCCTTTATAATGATATTAACAAGGTGACTTAAATTAAATGTCTGTGAAAAAAAAGTGTGGAAAGATAAACCTGTGTTAAATAGTAATGATTCTATTGGACTATCAACTCTAATGACCAGTGCAATTTGAATGTCTTCATACCAGTATTCAATGTTTCTTCTTTTACTTCTGCCCTTGATTATGCTTTCTTTTGTAGAAATATTTCACACGTGTCACGGCTTTTCACAATGTCAACATCCTACTCGAGCGACCTCGTGATTTGCTTTTGTAATGATATGCCCTAAAGGAGTCTTGTTATGTGAATCGGATCTGTATTTGTCTCAATGATTGATTTAATTTCAAGATCTGCTACTGTGATCAACATAAAAGCCAAAAATGCCCTACTTCTTAGGATACCTTGATTGAGGACGTGATTTCAAAAATAATTTAACTTCAATTTGTTCCTTAACCAACGGCCTAATACCATATATTCAAAAAATAGAAATGGAAAAAAAAACACAGTCCAAAGTATTGCAACAAATAAATAAAATGGGGCATATTCAAATTTTATGATTCAATTATGTTCATCCACACTCCTCGTCATACAGGGATCAAATAGTTTCATTGAGCTTCAAAAGAGT